ATAACACTTACCCAATTCCAGATAGATTGCTACACATGATAGGTTCATCGTTCCTGTAGTACCAATTACCTAAAACAAAATGTTATTTATTACAACCAACATCAGGGTCATCAAATACACGTGCAGCAGTTTTCGAATTCAACGAGCTACTAAATATTTGGCTGAAATTTTGAGTTCCTTTGAATATTTGATCGATCTACAATTATTATTGTGACTTACTGCTGTTCTCCACTATTGCATGCCATTCACTATGCGTATAGTTAGAATACGCTAACATTCCATCGAAATTGTAGACACACTTCTGACGCAACACGCCCATGTAAATTTGAAGTGAAAATAAAGCAAATATAGAAAGCACGAACACTGTAAGCAACATAACTTCAGCCAACATCTTTGTAGACTTTAATAGTGCGTTGATTATGGATTTTAAACCTACAAATAAAATGAGCCATATATCAATAAGCATTTTTGTCAATTATTTTGCAAATTCATATGATTAATATGCACATATCTTGTTATGATTCCGTAGTGTGTAATTGCTTTATTATTGGCAAAAAACGGTAGTACACTGCAACAAGGAAATGCACTGCATTATCTTCGAATCGTTAGAATTCACTAGATCGGCGAACAAGTGCAGGTGTCGATCAGGAGACAAAAACTCGACACGGGGATTTGTTGGACAACCCAGGGATGCACAATGTATGAGATATGTGCGCATTTAGAACAGCTCAACAGCTGCGTACATTTAGAGAGTAGATTACTGATGTTTGAAAAATCACATTTGTACAGGAAACCACGGAGTAAAACGTTCTTGATTGGAAGACATTCTCCTGATATTTTAACCTAATTTGCTCACATTTAGAATATTTGTGGAGAGAATTGTGAAAAATAAAACACAGCATTAGATACTAATTGGGAGGTCGTCGTCCTCAGAGATAGCCTATATTTCAGGGAAAAGTTCCTCCTGTTTTTATTCGTTTTACATAGCAACGAGTTACATGGCACACCACATCACGCGACTTTGCGTGAAATGTACAATCCACTCACCTGGCACAATCGAAATTGTTTTTAAAGCTCTTAGTACTCGAAGTGTACGCAAACCTGAAAAGTTGCCAAGATCCACTCCTATTGTAACATATCTATCAGAGTCAAAACAAAATTAGAATAAATAATTTGTCATAACTGTGCTACATATATTGGGTATAGTTCAGACATGTGATAAACGATGTAAATGGTGCGCGAAACAATTGAATAAAACAACATGAATATCGTTTACTTACGCTAAAATTATAACTGTAAAATCTAACCAATTCCAAGGATCTCGGAGATATGTAAATTTGTAGATGATAAATCCCCTGGCTAAAATTTTCACCAGCATTTCAAAAGTGTAAATACCCGTAAATACGTATCTAGTATAGAATACAGATACAAAATGCATTAAACAGACACAAATAAGGCATGAACACGGGACGTATACGTACAGAGGCAGATGGAAGAGGATAGAGGTGGAATTCATGCACAAGAGACAGGAATACATAGTGAAGAAGAACAGGCACATGCTAGGACGATCGTTTCATCTTGTAAGACCAAACAATAACGGATTTGCCAAAAGTATGTTTACTGACCATTATGTACCCGTTTATAATAACGGCAAATGCATTGCTTTTCTGTTACAGCAATAAACATACACGTAAATAAATATAATATCCAAGAATTGGATACATGTTCATTTAGTGTTTGGTCTTTTGTGGACGATTAAGGTATCGCTTTCTTACTTATTTATTTTCCTTTGTTGACAGGTTCAGTATGTTAATACCTGTTAAAGACCCATTATATTCCACGTTGATATCATTGAATAAATGAACCACAAGATTTCGATTCGATTTCTGAATCTTGTACAACGAATAGAGCGGCGCCAGTTTAGAGCGGTACGTTTAGATAATCATGTGAATAAGACCAGAAAGTGTTGCCGAGTAATAATACAATTAATGGGTATTTAACATATATGTTGTGTGTTATTTGGTTATATGAAACGCGTCTCAGAAAGAGACTATTCTCGAACACTGAAACGTTAATTACAAAGTAGGACACACAACAACAAAGACAAATAAACACTACAACGTTGCTGACACGTAATGCACATAACCTCGTCCCAGTCACAAAGTTTTAATATAATATTTTGGGACGAGGCTGGTTTCGGACAAAAATAGAGAGAGAGAATACAGAGAAGATACACAGAGAGAATACATCGACGAGTTGTACAAGTACTAATAATCTACGCAGTGCATTGGAAGTTTCTAACAGTGTAAATGGTAGTATTAACGTTAATAATAGAAATAATACCAAACAATTAATATTGTTTTAAGTTGCAAGATGATTTCCCTTTTTCTATTTATTTACTTACTCTGATCTCTGCATAATGCTAAGGGATGCAACGGTAGAGCAACAGAAAACTTGGAAGTTAGCAACGAAATAAAGCAGACTTCAAACTAATAGAATACATGCTTACTTAATCTTAGTAAAAACAATACGTGATAATGCAAACGAAAACGCAATTATAAAATATATATATATATATATATATATATATATATATATATATATATATATATATATATATATATATATATATATATATATATATATATATATATATAGTATGTAGTATGAATAGACCGTTATGGATGACTTCTTTGGAATCATGCGTTCTATATCTAGGAATTGTTGTGACATTGTAACGATCTCAGTGTCAATGCAAAGCTTGGCCAATCACCTATGCTCGATGTAGTCGCGTGTTGAAAAGTGGCTCAAACTTGTAGATATTTTGGATACTTACTCTGCATATACTGCATATTTGTTTTCTGCATTCAGTCCCAGAAAGACGCAATTTGCTAAGATGGTAAGCATTACAACTATGTCAAATAATGTACACATTACGTTAAGGAATACAGGTTAATATAACTACCTACTATATATAAACTACTGTAAAACATGTATTTTAGTTAGCATGTTATTTTAGCTGATTTAGCTAATCTGTAATTTCGCTAATTCAAGATGCAGCTAATTTAACAGAAACAATATTTTCCAAATTAAGATTCTGTTAATTCATGCCGAGAGTCAAATCCGCTAAAATTGCATGCAGCTATTTCAACGTGTTCTACAGTATTTCAGTGTTTTTTCGGTAATTTAGACAACGCTTAACCTTGATTTCGTCAGTATTTTAAGACGAGTAGAAAATGTGCCAGATTTCATATGTAAATTCTTATCGCACTATCTTACTATATACTGCTTATACTTAGAAATTCGTTCACATCACGTGATAAAGGATATTGATGAGTCACCATGTAGATCATAACACGACGCAGGGGGTTCATCGGCCCAAACAAAAAAAGCACCTTCGTTGTGGAAAATCGATAGATGTACTTCTTTCCCCATCGTTTGGCAAGGACTGTAAACGGCTATAAAAAGAAAAACAAACACATTGGCGATGAATAGTACAAATGTGTTTCAAATAACATGGCATGTTAAAACTTGATTCGTAAATGTTCGAAGCTTTACGCCTAGCTGCGTACCACATATAAATTCTAGTTTAACTTATCCACTGTTTTAAAACTCATTTTATTTTTTAAATGATCTCGGAATGCAAAAACATGTTGAATATTGATAGACATGTGACTGGTAGTTGTTGCACTGATAAATGAATGGACGGTGTAGTTATGTCCTGTGTCAATAAAAAACAGGCCACCCTGGCCCCAGACAATATGTAAAGAGAAACTGAATACAGAGCATTAAACCGCTAGAACTCATTGTTCACTGTAGGCTATAACATGAAAAGGCACGGCAGCCTCATTCCTTTATGCTATGTTAAATATCTTACAGTGGATAAAGGGGTGGGGATGGTGGTGGTGGTGGTGGTGGTGGTGGTGGTGGGGGCTCTGACAGACAACAAGCCTACAGTAGGAGTAGCGAACATAACAGAATAGAAACGACGTAAATGGTCAAGGTTTAGTTATAGTTTTTGTGGGAAATTTTATTCAACTTCAAATCTGTTCTCAAACAAAATATAACACAATAATTGATGTTTACATTGAAAAACATAATGATACAGAGACAGAATATGTAATGAAGCTGTGGGGATAGTCGTTGCTAAGACATTATAGTGTTTGTACACAAGTAAATATCTATTGTTCGATTTGAATAGATCCTATGTATATCATTGATTCACGATAAACATCCGACGTCACTGGATAATGAAACATTGCGAACATTCAGTGTGTGTAAATTGTCGCCATTGTTATCTTTGAATTATTGAAATTCTACATTAGACTCACTTACAATGTTCACTTTTGAGATATTTTAAGCGAATGAATGTTATTGTATAAATATTCGCCGATTTATTCATATTTTTCTTTAACAATCACAGCATCAAGTTGTTTGAATTAATTTATATTATATCTTGTTTCAGCTGATATAATTTTACACTGTATGTTTATGTATACCTCAATACTTATCAGGTTTGACCGTGAACATAGTTAACAGTGTAATATAACGTAACGTAAAATATTCAACATCGAATATTTAGAATTGGTTTCATTAAACCAATAACATTTCCATTGTTGTTTTGCAGGCAAGAAATCTAACCATGACGATAGGCAGGCAAGAAATCCAACCATGACGATAGACAGGCAAAAAATCCAACCATGACGACAGATTTGGAACAAATATCTTTGACCCCATTATGTGAAACATTTGGGGTCACGGTTTCATGTACAGTGACGTCAAATGTCATGGCTATCAAGTTGCAATTGAGCATTATCTTATAACTTAGCAATAACAATGATATCGTCTTATACAATTTCACTGGCGGAACTGGGAGGGGGGTTCTTGGGGTCCGGACCCCCCTCCCCCCATTGAACATTTTATTCAATTTGTTTTTGTATAACATAAAAAAAATCATTAACTTAGTCTGGCGATTTTAAAGTTTGGACCCCCGCCCCTGAAATTTCAAGGTAAGTGAATCCAAACCCAAGAAGACAATATTGTGAAGAGATCGTCTTCAAAACAATACTAATTTATATGGACTTACTTTCAAAAATATGTTTAATAACAAATTAAGGAATAAGAATATTAAATATACAATATATAAGACATTGTCAAAAACCAGCCGTGTTGCATATTGTCGATATTGTTGTTTCATTTCGCATTGTGAGAACACGGTATTTGCGCTGATTTATGGAACTCACTAACGTCGTTAATTGGATTTTTTTAATATTTCGAATTTTTGCGGAAACATCTGCAACATCTGCATTTGAGAATACCCAAGAACAGGAAAAACCCTGGTTATTTCAATGTATTAAAATTCAGGCATTTTTACGATAGTCCATTCAGTGAGAGTGAGGGAAAGTAATTGAACTCGGATTTCTGGATTCGTTGTCAATTTCGATATTAAAATTCTCAAATAAAATGTTCGAAAGACAATTATTCAGTAGACCTTTCTGGGTTGAACACCAGCTCTGAGTGAGTGACCACATATGTCATGGAAAGACAACATCCACAGACCGGGATTCATTCACCAAACCCTGCCGAATATCGCCAGACTAACACATTAAATTGCCATAATGACATTATGATAAAAGGATGGCCACACAACTCTATCACATAGTCCCGAGCACGAAATAAGGTTCACATCACAAAATGCACTATATGTAAGCATTTGCACATAACCAAGTCGGGAGAAACAGCACTGACATCCACTGTCCACAAGCGTCACCTGGAACAAAAAATAATTTGTGGTATCGGAAATCGCACTTATTTACAGGAAGATATTATTGTGGTGAAATAATCCCAAGGCTCATAGATTTCCAGAGACGTGTATCAAATCTAACATACTAATAACACGTGGATGAAAATCGATATCGCCGCCATTTGATACGTTGTTGTCGTTAGTCGCTTACACATGTTCTAATGAAATACCAATTAAAGTATGTTTTATCCTGGAGTATTTGATGATATTGAACAACGCTTATGGCGCCATCAACAGGTGGTCAGCGCTTATCACATCTACATGCAATTCACGTGTTTAAAACATACACAAAACACTGAAGGAGCAAGCTGCATTAGTTGTAACGTTTTCAGTATAGTTTAAGCCATGTCATACTGGCATACCTTTACGGTACCAAACACGTGCTGTTACGTCATGAAATATGACATGCATTTATGACAACAACATGTAAATGTGTTAGTCTACCAACGATGTTTTCAGCTGTTTAGGTTTTGTTTTCATATGCGTAGAATGGACATCGTAAAATCTTACCTCTGATATATTAATTTGAGACACAAACGTACATTGCAGGGCAGATTTAAATGCTGTCAAAATCGTCCCTATAATTAATTCTAATCTTAGACTTTAACTGAGTCTTTGAATGTGACATTGCTCACTGTGGAAATATGTATGCCATGATTCCTTGTGCAAACAATTAATATTGTTTGATATCATAATGACTGTTAAAAGTAAAACCTGATATATGTGTCATATTTATCAGAGAAAAAAATGTCACTAGAAACTTGCTGTATTTTGTCTGTTATTTCACCCCAATTATTTAGAAAATATAGAGCATGACTGATCTGAATCAGTCGGTCACGACGGTCAAAAGTCATTTTTGGGTTAACGAGTATCCACCACACTCATGTATGAGTTACACGTATATTGTCAATGATGTAATTGCCAACTTTTGCAGACTGTGTGTGATATCTCATGAATAAGAGCAGAATTTGATGAGAACTAACATGAAGTAGTCAAGACAGCATACCATATATTATTATTCTACGCACGGTATATTGAATTGCATTACTTCCGGTTATTGAATTTGGTCGCAAAAATAACTTGCAGGTATTTGTTTGGTATTAGGTCCTCTACAAAGTGTGATGGTCGTCTATTATAAGTCAGTGTCAAAGCCTGTGATTTATAGCATAGATGGCAATGGGATGAATAACAAGGTCTATTTATTAAAAAGGAATTATCCGAAAAGCTCATAAATATGTTTATAAATTGTGATAGTGACGTATGTATTTATTTCACAGTGTTGTACATAAAACCGAGTCCCCAGGCTATGTATTTTACTTATATGGGAATCAATGTTGTCACAGTCTCCTTGAAGTTCGTAGTTGACTGAACTGTGATGAGTGCACTGTGTATGATGGCTGGTGGGTACTTATTAATGGCCGCGAAACCGACCTTGTCAATAGAAACTCGGCACTGGCATTGGATTTGTGAATAGACACCTATTAATAATGGTATGATGGTATGGAAGACTGCCAAGTGATCGTCTTCGCTACTGTCTTATGTTTTTTTCTGCGTTGGTAGATGCTAACTCGTCTCCTATTAACGCCGCCAATAATAGAGGTGAATGAGTAATGTTCTGCCATAAAAAGACCTACCTCACACCCATTGTACGCATTTCAGTTGGTAAACTTTGCGGGAGGTGAATGTATCACAATACAAATAGTTCTCCCGTGAAAAATCTAATAAATCTCACGAGACAGTATAATTTTGTCCCGTATAACAGAGACAAAAATTCTCACTGTTACATGAGAGGTGATGTAAATAATGGCGTCCAGTCACGCCACCCCGGACTTGAACAATACAACTTTTCCAGATGTTGTAACTGTTAAAGATACACAACACACATGTCAGAAATGCACGTGTCATTACCGTAGAAACAACACAAAATTACCACAACTTTCATTGAATAATTCTTCATATAATCACTTAAATATCATTTCGAATAGACAGTGAACCTCG